TGTGTGTGTGTGTGTGTTAAAGCCTGGAGGAAAAAATATGATCTTTGTCTACACATCACTCATTGGACCATGAGCTTAGACTACGATCTGATGAAAACGTTCTACTAATTGGGAATTTTTGAGTCTATCAACTCCATGAATAGGTCATACATTTGAATACTTTACTATTCAATTCTTACCTTCCCTTTGTGGGTAGGACCCGGAGCCACCCCTAGGAAAGGGAAAATATGACAAATGGCACCCAGATCCATACTCTGGGGGGTGGAATCTTAAGGCACAGTGGAATGAGGGAAGCAGGCAATGATCAGCTACTTGGTGAAATAGACCCAGTTTTTGTCCATATTCCAATTTCAGGAGCTTCAAGCGCTTTGGGTCTATGGCCCTGAAAGGAGGTCAATGAGGGCACTTATTCCAGGACAAAAGGAACCACTGTCCGTCTTTAGCCCCTTCCCAAGCAGAACCTACTGGGAGTGGGGTACCTTCCACTTTCAGAGCTAAACCGAGTGGCACAGCTTCCTGGAAAGACCTTTGTCAATCTATGGGCAATCTACCGGCTTCACGCACCCCTGCCTCCACTGCGACCTTCTCTTTTTCATGACGTACAGTGTTCCAAGAATTCCTTTTCCAGACTGTGTTCACACATAAAAGGCAAAGGAACACAGAGCGAAAGATTCTCCACCTGAACCTGCTTCCCCAGTTTCGGCAGATTGGCTGTGCCGACCCCCTTTCACCCACGTGGATGGCCGCCCAGTCCATCCACTCGAGAAGCCAGTATGTTTCCATGTGGCTATTGAGCTCAGCCAAGGCATAGGACACTTTGTTCTCAGGCAAAATGAGTCGTCAGTGGAAGACAATTAAATCCTAGCTCTTGGATTGGGAGTAATGGGAGGCTGAATGGGCCCCAAAGGCCCTTCGCGTTGCTAAGGTTATGTTTTCCAGCAATCTTCAGCGGAACAGGCCGAAAGGGAAGGTTCCTAAGTGCTGGGAGGGAGTTTGAAAAGGAAAATAAACAGAATGGAGAGACAGCTGGAGTGTGGACGCCCGAGTTCCTTCTGAACTTTGTACAGGGAGACCTCACAAGTTCTCTTCCCTCGGAAGCAGGGACAGATGGACACATGGCCCTGACTGCGGCCAGACTGCGGACCCCAGCTTTCTTCTTGGAAATCCGTGGAGATTCTTCTCTCTGGTCCTGAACCTGATACACTAATCAAGACGGATGGCCTGGTTTTCCCTTCCCTTCCGTCTCGATTGTCACTCTCTACACTTGCATTTCGTCTAATTCCCTCCCTCTCTCTAGTTTTCATAGCTCTGCCTAGCCCTCCATCCCATTAGCACCAAAGATGGGAAAAGAATTCTCAGGAGGGAAAAAAGTATAACTTTCTCATCACAAAAATAAACTTTTGGTGTCTATCCTTAGGTCTTATCTTAAGTAACATATGTGTTTGTACTCCCTCAATAAGCATTAAATACCAATGTTGTACCCAGCCCTGTGAGGCAGACATCAAGGTAGACAGAGCACAGCTCCTGCTATCTTTGGAATCCCAGTGTTATAATAATCTGTTTCTGCGCCTTAACGTTTTCATACAGATAGGAGCAAGGCATTGTGGGAATAAGTGAAATAAACGCCTAATTGTCCCCAGAATATCGAGGACATTTTCCTAGGAGAGGTGACATTTGAGCTGGTTCTTTAGGGATGAATAGTAATACTCTATGTAGTCGCAAAAAGAAAGAGCTTATGAGGTTAATGTAAAACCATCCTAAAACAAGAGAAGATGAAAAATAACTTGTGTATTCCAGACACTGCTTTCAATAGCAGTATAAGAGATGAGACCTCTATTCAGAGGTTTGGACACTGTCTCGTGGAAATTAGGGAAACGGAAGTTTTTAGGTTACAAAGCAGCTTGATCAAACTTGCATTTTAAAAAGATCCCTCTCGGGGGCTCAGTCAATCTGACTTCGGCTCAGGTCATGGTCTAGTGGGTTTGTGAGTTCGAGCCCCCATCAGGCTCTCTGCTGTCAGCTAGGAGTCTGCTTCAGACCCTCAGTTCCCATCTCTTTCTGTCCCTCCCCCATCTTAAAAATAAACATTAAAAATAATTTTTTTTTAATTTTTTTTTCAACGTTTATTTATTTTTGGGACAGAGAGAGACAGAGCATGAACGGGGGAGGGGCAGAGAGAGAGGGAGACACAGAATCGGAAACAGGCTCCAGGCTCTGAGCCATCAGCCCAGAGCCCGACGCGGGGCTCGAACTCACGGACCGCGAGATCGTGACCTGGCTGAAGTCGGTTAAGCG